TTTATGTTTTTTTATATAACTTCATACTGAAGTCTAYACCATACAGGCTCTGGTTCCTTTCTGAAACCATTGCCAAATAAAACTTATGTGGCACCTTTGGACAGTTGGGCAAGCTGCCGTAGTACCTTTGGAGACTTTGTCCTAAATGCCTCAGTAAAAAGGAAAGCAAGTTGCAGGTTATTTTAGTGCATTGCAGCCAGCTTATCAGAAATCCATTTTTAATGACATTTTGTCGCTTTGCCCAAATCCTTTCCCCATGCACAAGGCCCTAATGAAGGAGCTGGATGGGTTGCCAGTGATACAGGGCTCTTCGTTTTTGTCTGAGACTGTGCAACACAGACCCCTTGCTCTGTCTTTTAAGCATCTCCATGTAACTCCATTTAGTCCTGGCTTGTTACCTGAGCCCTTCTGGGGGCCTGCAGGGAAGCAGAGTTTGGCACTAGCTGGAGAAATTCATACATGTTTCATGGGTCAGTTTGGCTTGGTGGGTTTCATGGGTCAGTTTGGCTTGGGTACAAACAAGCCACTTATTGAGACTTGGAGAAGTTTGGCCTATTATGAATATTTTTTCCAACAAATAAATTGCTTCTATAGGAAAAAAAAGCCCCGTCCTCTTTCCCTAATTCTCTTCTTGAGTAATTACCAATTAGTACAGTAGCTGCTCAGTGTAACTGTAGCATTTGTACCCACAACACTTGTTTTTGTAAAATGTATCTAAGAATTTATTTTACTCTGCCATCATTTCCAGAATAATCCACATTTGGGTTGTTTGGGCTATTTCTATAAATAAGAGGCAAGTTTTCATATAAGTCTCAGCTGGACTTCTACAGCCAAGGGAGTTGAAATGCCTATACCTGATTAGGCTCTCAGATCTGGGATTTACATTTATTTAATTGAATTATTCTTTTCCTTGAATTTTGAGTGGCCAAAGTTACTTGAACTGAAGGGTATTTTATGCACATGTGACTCAAACCAGGCACATGATCCAGAATGCACTGAAATCAGGTGGAGCCTGCCTGTTAACTTTAATGAACTTTGGATCAGGCTCAGCAAGGCATTTGCCTGCCTTATTAATAATGAGATTACATTTTGCAGTTTTGCCTGCACACACAAGTGGGATGGTTTTGTCTTGTTAGGATGAAGAATAATGTCATGTTTTGAAATGTAAATATACATRTATTTTTTTCTGACATTTAGGACTCTTCTACCTTGCCATATTTCTCATGTTCAGTACTCAGGGAAATTTGTTTTCTTGCTTATTGTTACCTGCAAATGATGATTTTCTCTCTGTTGTCAGCTTGCTGCCACCATTTCRTGTTTCTGGAGACACATTTGCTGTGCTTCACAAACTTAATGCTAGTGCTGTGCTTTAGGCATGGTCTGYTTGAGAGCTTGTGCTCCTACCAGCGATGCAGGCTCCTCTCCCCCATCAGGGGTGCAGGCAGGGCTTGGATATGAGCCTGTCACAGTCAATTTTCAAGGTCAGGATTCAGGATTGAGCTCATTTGAGAGAGGCACAACATTCTGAATTGCTCTCTGATGTGTACTTATTTACAATTTACCTTAGTCCATTTTARGTGAAAACCATATGATTTAAATTTCTTTTTCTTCTTTTTTTTTTCAGAATTGCATGCTGTGCTTTTTCAAGAGCTTTATTATAATAAACACATGTAAATGTGCATATATGCATGCACATGGTAATATCAGAAGTACTTTAATCTTCATTATTTTCTCTCTCTGTCTTCACCAAGACATTTTTATCCTAATAGATATGAGCTATAGACATAAACCATGACCATATTTTTTAAAATGCACTTCCCAGCCTGTTGCAAATTGCAGTAATGGGTAGGGCTTAACATTTTGCCTGATGTTTGTGTGCTGGCTGTGAGAAAAAGAGAAAATATTCCTCTGAATTCCMACCTGGATTTTGCTGTGAGCTGTGTGAATGTGTGTCTTGTTCCCAGCTGGGCAGTATCTTCTAACCAAGTGCCATGCCTTGCAGTCAAACACAGGGAGAAAAGCTTTATGGTGTTGGAGGCTTTATGCCCTATGGATTGAATGGAGTCCTCTCAGGGGCAGCCACGTGTTTTTATGCTTTCGTGGGATTTGACTGCATTGCCACCACAGGTAAGAGGGAGAAAGTCTACATTCCTGTTCTGCTTTTGCTGGTAAATGACTGGTTTTCAGTAGTGTTACACGGGGTGGCGCTGGGCAGTGGGCAATTCAGGACACAGTGTTCRTTAGCCCTCTGAAGCTCAGCCCCAAATACATTTTTGGCTCAGCTGTCTCCTTATTCTCACAGTGCTAAATATGTCACAAGTCCCTTGGTGCCTGACTGCTAGCTAGCTTTGACTTACAGCTGCTGTGGCAAACAGCTAGACCTTGTAACCCACAAARGCAGCTCTCTGTCCTACTTTGCCTGCAGGACCCAATTCCATGGGTCTTTGCTGATGGCACTAACCCAATCAGACCCCACAGTAAGGCACCTGGAGAGAAAACAAAGAAAAAACATATTCAGATGCCTCAAATGATTGACAGAGTTTGAACCTCTAACTCCAGATTGATCTTTTAATCAACAGCTTATTCTGGAGTAGGATGTTTAAGTGCCTTCAGCTCARTATGTTCTCCCTGGCTTGGAATATTTAAAGAATCAGGAGAAGAGGAACTCTTTGAGCRGGAGTTTGCAAGTTAAAGCAGTTGCTTGAAATAGGAATCTCCCAGAGTTCAGAGATCTCCTTTTGAGAGAGCAGCCTTCAGCAGTGACTGATTTCTACTGGCTTGTAAGAATCTCAGTTTCCCAGAGAAGGAAAGGAATCTCCTCACTTTCCTGTCTATTAAGAACTAAGCTGTTTCAAAGCTGGRCCAGAAGGAGAAGATCATCACAAAGATAGATAAATCAGGAGTGCTTCATGTTGTAAGAAGCCTGAAAAACTGTGGCTCCATTACTCCAGCTAACCCAAGAGCTTCTCCCTGGAAGAGAAGCATATCCATCTAGTTTTATGGGGTCTAGTTATGGGTCAGTGTAGTGTCCAGTTCCTCCCTACTTATGAAATGGCAAAGATCAGAAGYTCTAGACTGAGCACTGGAAGAGGTTGCCCAGAGAAACTGCCTAGTTGCAATTCCATGCAATGTGCTAGGTGACCCTGCTTGAAGAGGGAGGTTGAACTAGAGGTTCTCYGAGGGTTCCATTCCTACATCAAGCATTCTGTGATTCCATGAGTGGTTCTGGAGGGGAATGCTCAAAATTATTTCTTAACTAAACAGAGCCTGAATTTTTGTTACACATTCTTCTCAAGTTGGTTGCCCATAAGAAAGGGAGAAAGTCTCCCTTTTCCATAAGAAAGGGAGAAAGTCTCCCTTTTCCATAAGAAAGGGAGAAAGAGGGATTTTCAAAGATCCATATGATTGTAAGATGCTGTGCAAACTCTCATTTTCCCTAGAACTAGGCACATGTGTCGCTGATTTTGCAATTTCACATTTTTGGTGGAAGTGCCAACTTAAATTCTCCCTCCAGTGTTTGCTTCCCAACTGCACGATAATTTGTTGTTCCGTCGGTTGTGACTGCTGAACTGTTTGGGGGACCACAATGTCAGTGGGATAGTAGGAGTAACTGGAAATAAAAATAACCTTCTTAGAATAAGGACTGCTTTTAGTTTATAAGGCCTCCCTGTCAGAAGAAGTGACAAGAGCAACAGAAGTAGGGGCAAGCGGCCAGGGTGATGAATGTGAAGTGGTTTCTTAAGGCCATGATCAGTAGGCAACTCSACAGAGGCGAAGTGCAGCCTCCTGCTCACAGAGCCTTTGAAAGCCCCATCCAGAATGTGTTAGAATGGGATGAAGTTCATTGTTGTCATTTACCTGATACTTCAGTTTCTTGTTTCTAGGTGAGGAGGTAAAAAACCCTCAGAAGGCCATTCCCATTGGCATCGTGGCATCTCTGCTCATCTGTTTTGTTGCTTACTTTGGTGTGTCAGCTGCTCTCACGCTCATGATGCCTTATTATCAGCTGGATACCAACAGCCCTTTACCCAATGCCTTTAAATATGTAGGCTGGGATGGAGCCAATTATGCTGTGGCTGTTGGTTCATTGTGTGCGCTTTCGACAAGGTAGGACACTGCTCTCCTTCTGTATTTATCAAGACAAATGTGTTTCTCCAGCTCCTTTTTAAAATGACATGTGTTAGAGCTCAGTTCTTGTCCACCTTCTCCGTCTTCCCTCATTTCTCCAGTTCTACCTTGTACTATTAGCAGAGAAATTGAGTTCAGGGATGAGATTCTGATTTGTTGACTTCAGAAGGGTTTCATCCTATGATAGATGACAGAGATGTGCTTGGCCAGTATCACTTCAGAAGCTCCCATCCTAGAAGCGAACCAAACAGGAGCATCTCTTGAATATAAGCCTGGTTCAATGACTRAGTCATGGAGGCAGCTATGGAGTGCAAGCACAGTCTGCCTGGAAGACATCCTGGCCTGCTGGGTGGCAAGCAGAGCTGTTGAGGTACTGCAGGGTGCATCTTCTGCAACATACAGGGATTGCCATACCCAGGGCTGTCTTTCTGCATCTTGACAGCRTGACAGCCATCTGGATGAGAAGCAGGGCAGGCTGAAGGCAGAATACATCATGTTCTCTTGTACTTTTGAGACCTGTTGCTTTAGAACAACTTAAATATAGTTAATTAGCAGGTGATAGTGGCTTGGAGTGGTTATATTTATCTTGCCGTAAAATCTGTCCGTTTCTGTACCTCATGGCTAGATTTAGATTTAAGTTTGCAGCTCAGTTGTCAGCTATCAGCAACATGGGTGTTTGGAGGGGGTGGTTGAAGGAGAAGCTGAAGGGAATGAAAGCCACTGCCACCTGTTCTGTGTTTGTACTGCCATAAAGATGCTTCCTTTGTGAGCCTGGGCTCAGCGTGAGGTAATATAAGTGGATTATTTCTCCCTCTGTGTCCTTAGTCTCCTTGGCTCCATGTTTCCGATGCCTCGAATAATTTATGCCATGGCAGAAGATGGGCTGCTCTTTAAATTTTTGGCTAAAATCAATGAGAAAAGAAAAACTCCAATAATTGCAACAGTGACGTCAGGGACTATTGCAGGTAAGATCCAAAAGATTTGCAGGAATGAGTAGAAAGAAAGCACAAACTTGTCATAGGAGCAGGCAAGCTGCTGTGCTCTAACCTGCTTACTTAACTGCTGTGCTTCACAACACGACTTCACAGGAAATGTTTTGGCTGCCCTACAGTGCAGGGCCTGGGCGAGCTGGGCAGCTCTCTGTGTGCCCATGCCCCCTTGTTGGAGCCCTCTGCTGACGTCCTCTCTCCCACCAAGAGTCGCCTTCATCCACTCCCTGTGCACTCTGCTGCCCTTAAAAATAATGAGCCCCCTGTGGTGGGGAGCCCGCTGTGCCCCCGGCTCCGAGGGGCTGCTGGGGATATCACGCACAGCCTGTAGGTAAGCTGCTCAGCAGAGGATGCCAGGACAGCTAGAGACAGGCAGATGGGCCCTGTGGCAATGGCATTTGTTAATCAGTCACAGCTGGTGGTATTCCTCTCCTCTCCTTCCATCCTGCGCTCCACAGGAACATGGGAATTAAGTCTTCCAGATAACGAAGATCAGCTTACGTTGTCTCACAGCCATCCCTTTCCTCCAAATAATTCACAAGCAGGCCAGTATTGCAGCTTTCCCTGTACTACTGCTTTAAATCCGGGATAAGCCACTGGTCGTAGGATGTGCTGTGTTTGAGGAGTGGTTGCCACATCGTCCCGTTGGGCTCTAAGCCCTTGTGAAACGTTTCAACCTCCTGCAGGGGCAGCTTGGGCCCTGCTGAGTTTGGCACAGCTGCTTCTCGGGCACTTTTCTTCAGGGAGCCTTGAATCAAGTCAGGGTAATAAAGAACCGGACAAAATAAAAACCTTAGCAAGAGCCCCAGKCTGCCTTCTGCAATGGGAGTGTTTCAGCACGCCTTGCTTCAGCACACCCATTTCAGAAGGGCAGTCTGGTATTTACTGTAATAAATGTGCTTTTGGTTTCGGTTAGTGGCAGCCGGTGAGGCTCAGAGCCTTGCAAGGCCTTTGGGGTTCAAGCATGCTTGAGTCATGCCTTATGGAGCGGCTCGAATTCCTTGCTGAATCCTGAGAAAGTCACATTTTGTCGGCTTTACCCCTTACACTGCTGAAATGTGGCTGCTCCACAGTGGTACTGATGTTTTTCTTCCCTCTTTCGCCTTCTCCTCCTTCCACAGCTGTTATGGCCTTTCTCTTCGACTTGAAAGATCTGGTGGATCTCATGTCTATTGGGACTCTCCTGGCTTATTCCTTGGTGGCAGCCTGCGTATTGGTGCTGAGGTATGGAGAAAGAAATAGTTCCTCTTTTGCCACATAGACAAAAATCCACCCAAGGCAGTCAGATACCCTTGTCATTTTGGTAGACTCAGTGAAACTGTGAACATCCCCATCTACTCCTGTGGAGGACTTGTTTCTTCAGCTTCATGGGGCAACGAGCTGACTGGATCTGCAATGGAATCCTCTGAACTTGGTTTTGCCTTRGCCCACCACTGCAGTGGTCAAACCTGGAGTCTCCTGGAAGATGTACCTATGGGTGGGGTGAGAGGAGGGTGCTCTGAGTGTCCACATCATCATTGCTCTTGATCTGCACGGGGACTACAGCCTCTGGTTGCATTGTCTTTTGGAAAGACGCAAGGGAAAAGGCTGGTAGGGGATATTTCTGTCCTACTGGAGCCTCCTGAAGGCCTTTTACCTGCTCCCAGCAAATGCACAGAGCTAAGAACTGCCTCTCAGCTGGAGAAAGGCTGAACTGTAGTTCCTTTGCTCTGAGCCTGTGTTGTCCGTCCTGCCTCGCTCACTGCCCAAAGTTTGAGGATTTTCCTTGCCCCTGTTGCATTTTATCTGTTTTCCCAGTCCCCGCTTCTCCATAAAGCTCTAAATGGCTTCTTAATTTGTATTTGCAGGCTTTTGTGTCTGTCATATAGAGTGCAATGGATTTGTCACCAGGATTTAGCCTTTCCCCTTTCATAGGTTTCTGTATGAGACAGCATTTCACTGGTCAGCACATTTCACAAATGCCCTTGTCCCAAATGCATTCCCTCAGAAACAATTTTAAGGGGTCTTTTGTAGGGACCCTTTCCTTTACTCAGGCTTGTGGCAAGGGAAGGGAAGGGAAGGGAAAACTTGCTTTAAAGGAGGTTTAAGATTGGAAGAGTAGTTTTTCTATACAAATCTGCCTGTGCATCAAGGCCCCCCTTGAATGAGATACTGTCTACCCATACAACAGAAAAAAATACATATATATTTATAGTTCTTACTTCACCCCTTTGTTCCCAGTGTGGCAGCAGACAAACTAACAGAAGAAACTGAAAGTAGGAGCCCTGAGCCCCAGGAGCAGCACTTTGTGATCAGCAGCTGCCAGGGTGTGATATCTGCTGAGATGTTAGTTCAGCTGCCTTTACTCCAAAACACTGTAGCTSAACTACCAGAGATAAAAGGCCTGAAAAGCACCCTTCTCCTGCAAGTCTTCACTGCTCTTGCCCAGCCATGTGTTGGTGATATCAGTGATGTGGTTTATGAAAGACCAGGTTATCCAGCTTAAAACAGTTACGAAGTTCCTGCTAATTTTTAGGCCATGAAAGTGGGCCATATTTACTTCCATAACGGCCACAATATTCCTCAGTTTTTCCCCTGAAACAGAAGGCTGCAGACAATGTGTGTGACTACAGTGTCTGAAACTATAATCAGTGATTGCTATATAGTATAGTATAGCGATCACTATAGTGATCTGGGGAGCAGTTATGCTTATCTGTGTGGCTTTTAAATGAGCAGTACTCTGTGCCAGGGCAACAACCTCTTTGTTTCATTCCCCTTTTCCTAGGTATCAGCCAGAGCAGCCTAACTTGGCCTACCAGATGGCTAGAACAACAGAGGAGACGGATAACAACGAGTCTATAAGCACGAGTGAATCTCAGGCAGGATTTCTGCCAGAAGAAGAGGAGAAATGTTCCCTCAAAGCCATATTATGTCCCCCAAACTCAGACCCTTCCAAATTCTCTGGCTATGTGGTGAATGTCTCAACCTTCATCATTGGTAAGCACTGGGCTCTGCAGCTTAGGGGCAGTGAAACAGTTGGTTGGCCTTGGATTCACTGTTAAGGGAAAGCTCACTTGTAACTGGTTATTTGCAAGTTTGATAAACTCTTGTAAAGGACAAGGTGAAGACAAATCTAACATTAAATTTGTCACTTGAAAAGGAGTGTTGGGTGTACCCCATGACCAAGGGATGTTGGGTGTACAGGGGACAGGGTATTTCTCTTAAAGTTGGCTTTTTCTTGATTTGCAGTTCGTTTGACAAGTTTTCACATTATTTGTTTTTTTTTTTTATTGTTTCTTTGTTTTGTTTTATTCCTTAAAAAAAAATCAATATGTTTTGGTGTCTGTTTACAGGTTTCCTTATTGTGGGTAGCTGTATCTTGACTGCCCTTGAGCCGAGCATTCTGATAAAGACTGTGTGGATCATTGCTGCAATCCTTGCTCTTATTGTCAGCTTCATTATATGGAAACAGCCTGAAAGCAAAACCAAGCTCTCCTTTAAGGTGAGTGTCTCAGAAGTGTGGCTAGGAGTTTATTGTTTGGGTGCTGATTACAGGAGGAAAGGCATGTTGGCCTGTATCAGAATGAGRGACTTGGCCAAGTGCACAGGATGGGAATACAAGTCTCACATGAAGTTTTCCATGTAGGTTTGCAGTGTATCTGGTGGTTTGAGCTTCTCAGCTAGTGTGGCTGCAAACTTTCAGTGTCTCCTGACATAAGGGATGTCCAGTCAGAGCCAAGCTGAATCTCCAAGGATGATTCCTTAAGCTCAAACATCAGTGTAGCTCTTGAGAGGGAGAGAGAGATCTCGTGCTCTCCTCAGTAGACTGCAAAGTGCAGCACAGTGTAGGAAACACTGTGGCAAGCAGTACCCCAGGGACACAAACAGATTTAGTGAGGAAAGACAGACTGAAAGAATTAGTTGAAAGCTTTTAGCATGGGAAAAACACAGGTGGTAAGGACAGCAGGGATAATAGAGGACCTGGGGAGAGAGGACCACTGAAAGGTAAATGGCCCTGGGGTCCAGCAGAAGCTTGGAGGGCAGAGTCTGGTTCAGAGATGTGGTCAGAGCCAGAAGTCTTATCATACTGATTTCAGGCTATTTTTCGAATTTATCGAGATCACTGTGAGTTCTAATCATATCCTTCAAACTATTCTCATTTTGATTGCTCTTCAATTACAGTTTTTCAGCAGATGCTCAGATTTGAATACTTTAATCCAACCASAGTTTCCCAGATTTCTGTTTGCAGCCATTTGGGGCATATAGCCCCAGAAGTGGAAGCAGAAGTGGCCAAGAGCAGAAAATTCAGGAATGGTCATCTAGACTCTTTTTGCTGAACTTGCCTCTGAGATGGTCTCTCTGCCTTGCACTCAGCATATTCTACCTCCATTTTCTGCTTTAGCCACTATCCTGTCGAAGAAAATAAAAACCAGACATGTCACTGGTGAATCTGCAGCAGCTATTTCTTATCTCCGTGTTATCTTCTAGGCATTTACAGCCTGCTCAGTATTTTTTCTTGAAATTCTCTCTGGGAATCCAAGGCTTACTGCTTTGTTCCCCAGTTATTTCTGTGTATGTCTTTCTAATAGGTAATTTGTCTCCTCTCTCCAGTACCTGGAGACCTTACTGGCCTACCAAAAAGCTTTCAGAGATGCTTATAATTGGTCCAAGGATTATTTTTGTGATTTCTAGCTGCATACTTCACCCCTCTAAGGAAATTGCATTGGTCCCTACTGACTTGACAAGGTCTCATTTAGAAAAATATTCTATTCCTATATCCTATTCCTAATCCATGTGCCAGTCTACTCCTCAAATTATGGTTCTGTTGAGCAACTGGCCACCATAAATGTTTCTTTTTGTGTGTGTGAAACTTAAATTAAAACAAGCTTACAGCATTTCAGACTGTTTCTTTTTGTACATCCTTTTTTCTCTGAGTGAAGGAAATTTTCTTCATTTTCTTCTTAGTGTCAGCATATTCACAGACCTTTGTATTATTGCCAGTTATGGCTCTGGTAGTTTCTTGTTTCTCATTTTGTCTCTACAGGCCTTATGTTCTGATTTTTGCATTTCGGCTTTACTGAATCACTTGTTTKCTTCTCAGATCATTAAAGTACTCCTGATGCTGCTTCACTAGGCTCTTTATTTCCTATATATTCTCTATATTTCCTGTAGCTCTGTGATGATTTTCAGTTGTACTTTTACTGCTTTCTGTTAGAATTCTGAATTCCCTTTTACATTCTTGCTACGTCTTGACCTACCAAGGTTCCTCAGGTCTGTCCTTCTGACAGTGCTCCCTGCCCTCTTCKGTTCCCTAATAGCTACCTGTCATGATGTTCTCCTTKTTTTTTCTCYTCCTCTCCTTCCCCCACAGGGTTTTTCCCAGATGAAGTTTGCCTGTTTCCTTCTTTCAAAACACAAAACAGGCAGAACTGTTCTTAAGATGGAGTGCAGCAGGCAGTTTTCACATCAGTCTCACATCTTATCCTGCATTTTGATCTAACTTGGTCTTTTCTAGGATCTGGCAGCCAGAGAGCTGTTAACAGGCATCACTTGCTGTTTACAGGGAAGTCATGACCTTGCCTGTCTATTTATCTGTCCTATGAGTGTAATTTATCCATCTTTTTTTTTTTTCAGGTACCTCTTTTGCCTCTTCTTCCTATTGTGAGTATTTTTGTGAATGTTTACCTCATGATGCAGCTAGATATAGGCACATGGATACGATTTGCAGTCTGGATGCTCATTGGTGAGTTTAACAGAGGGAAAAAAGAACATTCATTTAAAGTTATTTGAATTTATTAACCATAGATTTCCTGTAGCATTCTAGGGAAGGATTTTACACTCTCATCATCCTTGGGTAATCATATTGACTTTACTGAAGCCATTCAGGTGGCATATCTCAAGCTTTGTGTTAAATTTAAGTGTCAAGAAACTTTTTATGTTGGCAAAMCTACATATGAGCCATCTTGTGCATTGTTCCTGTAATAACCTCCTTTGCAGCTCTATAAAAAATGAAGCAAATGTTAAGCAAATGTTATCCTTTTTTCACCATTTTATGGGAAGAGGAAGATCTTAACCAGTATGTGGTATGTGTCTGTGATTGCCTCATGRCTTTCTGGTGATCTTTAAGGCTTTAAGGGCTTTATCAGGATACTTTTTTATAGCTTCTGTCTTTAGTGGTAGAAAGACTTGGAGGATCTAAGAGGTAAGAATCAAGGATGGCTTCCTGAAGTGACTGCCTGTTGCTTTGCTCTGGGCCTGGTCAAGGCAAACTCCAGGTAGCTCCCCTTTTTGCCCATGTCCAGTTTCTATAGTAACCTCCTTCCCTATTCCAATAATTTTACCTAGGAAAGTTGACACTTTCCCAAGGTGTCCTGATCTGAGGCTATCCCAAGAATATAAAAGCATTGCCTTATGCAATGGGAGACAGAGATTAACCCAAAACTTCTGTGTAAACCTCCTGCCTTTAACTTGTGAAATTCTCAGGATACCTGACTTCAAGGTATTGCCCTTTGGATATCAAAACCTGACAACATGTGGAAGGGGGACCTGTTAGATATGTGTCTCTCCCTGACGCAAATCTGTGTTAAAAGGCAGAGCAATAGAATGGCTGTGAGTCCAGGAGCAAGGTATGCACATTGAATAGTCTGAGTAGACTTGAGTTTGAGCTTTTAAATTTTTTTTTYGCTGCCAGTTTTATCATCTGGATTAAAATCTTGATTATAATCTTACTGATGAACTCTTACTGAGTTCTGAGAAGTGGTAGTAAGGAAGTACATGTGTGTATGTGTGTGTTTAACCCGATAAATGTGTGTGTATATAGTACTTTTGCTTCCTTAGTTTAATGAGAACTGCTCACTCATTGCACAAGGGGCAGTACAACCTTCCTTGTCTGCTGAGCTTGGATTGCCATCCAAGTGATGAGGCTGGTTCTTCCTGAGCTGGAGAATCTGAGCTCTGTCCTAGGATATTCAGATAACAGATACAGGAAGAAGGCAGAATTTGTCGTGGTAAAAATGATGATGTTTGATTAGCATCAATTGCACTCATTTTTTATTGCAACAAAGGCTGTTGGTACACACGTGGAGAGAGAAAGCTCTGTACAGAAGGCAAAGCATTGGATGGACTTGTTCAAAAACATGAGAAGTTTTGCATTCTGTCATCAACGCTGGTTTCTCTCTTATGTTTGGGGCAGGGATAGATCAATTTTTAAAGAATGACCTCTTAGGTTAATTTTGGTTTATTTTGTTTTTTTTTTTTTCCCCCTGGGGAAGATAGTAGTTGCCTGCTGCAACGTAGCCATCAGGATGGCTTCATTTACCCATGACTTAGCCCATTCCTGTAGATGTGAATAGTGGTTTCTGTTTCCTTATAGATCTAATGTTGCCCTTTCCACTTGGCTCCCCACAGGCTTTATCATCTACTTTGCCTATGGAATATGGCACAGCGTGGAAGCCACGTATTCRGCCTCAGCAGACACGGAGAGAAGCACGGACATTGGTTCGGAGAGCTGCAAATGACTCCRCGTTTGGCCTCAGGGCAACTGAGGAACTGCTGCAGGGAAGGAAGCTTTGTTGGGGAACCTGAAGTGTTTCATCTGGTTCATCAGTAATGCAGGAAGAATGAGGCAAAAGGTGGGAATCCCCAGCCTTGTTGCTGCAGCTTGCAGTTTGCTTAGTAGCACAGTTAAAAGGGATCCCGAGGAAAAAGCCACAGCTCTGGCACACTCCCGGCAACACTGTCAGCTAATCTGGGCCTACACGCTTCCCTTCCTCCCTCTCTTGGGGTTTTTTTTTTTTTTTTTCTTGCAATGTGTAGAAAGAAAACTGCTTCTGTGTGTCAGATAGATAACCTTAAATGCTGCTATGAAACCAGGCCTCACAAAGGTCCTTCTCTCAGTAACCCTGTGAATTACCTCCCCACGGATACTCTACTTGATTGTAAATGGGGCAGCTCTTGCGATGCTAATGCCATGCTTAGGTCAGCTGGTTCCTTCACCTGATGTGAGCTGTACCACGGGAACACACACAAAAGCCAAACCTATGCTTTCACCCAGTTAAGAAAGCACCTGCAAGGTTCACATTCTTTAAAATACCAGGTTTCGTGATTTTATTGTATTTAACGTTTTTAAGCTGATTAAGTACTCATATTCCTTATAGTGCACTGCTGCTGTGAAATGTTGGGAGGGTTTCTGGTCGCTGCTTGCCAGGTGAATGGCCATTTGCAAAAGTGCAGATGGTGCAGGACAGTGTTTCTGCTAACTGTGCACTCAGCAGAGGGTTTAGTCATAAAACTATTTGGTGCAAGTACTTGAATGGTTTTAATGGAACAGGTGTCTCCAAAGAGCCTTCCTACCTCTTCATGTCAGGACTTACTGATACCATTTCTAAAATGGGGGGTGGGGGTTGGCAAAAGTGCTTTTAAGCCCAGGTCTCAAGAAGGGCCCTGTTTTCCTTTCTGTGCATTCGTTTCATTTGAAATCAGTATAACTGCCACTAGAACAGGCCGCTTAAAATAAGAAGGAACTAAGAAGGAATTTGGCTATGAGAATTTGGTTAGGTTCAGTGGGTGAATCATATTCATGCCTCTAGAAAGAGATGTGTAGAAAGATCTTCAAAATCCTCTGGTGAACAGAATCTGAGAGTCTTGCAGCTTCTACCCCGTCCCCAAGTTGAAGGACATGAGGGTAGATAGTAGCTCCTTAACAGTGATGCCAATGGAGTGTGTAACTTTCTGCCCTGAAACAAAGCACCATGAGACTGAGGTCTGGCTTGCTGAGACAAGTGTTCTTGATGACACGGGACTTCATCTCTAGAAACAGGTTACTGACTTAGTCTGTGATCCTATTTGGAGCATGAGCGTGGGGCTCAGCAGAGCTTCCTGGTCTGTGTGCTTTATAAAATGATCAATAAAATATGCTCAAGTATGAGGAATGTGACACTGTGTGGGGCTGAGGGGGGCTCTGCTCCACCGGGCTAAGGCACCGTGCCCAGGCTAGGCTTGCAGCCTGGTTATGCTCCAGAGCTTGCCGTGAAGGGTGAGAAATTCAGAGCTATGAGCCCAGGGTCTGTGTTGAGTCAGCAATGCAGAGGTAGCCTTGATTTGGTTACAAGGTGAAAGGTTTTTTAATTCTCTCTAGTGCCGTATGTAAGTATGCAACTCCAAAACAGGCTTTCTGAAGCATCACAGTGGGGTGTTAAACCCACATAGTGGCAAAGCTTTAAATTTGTGCTTTAACTCGTCCTGGAAAATCTATCCCACACAGATACTGCAGAAACCCCCTCTAACTCTCTGAGGGATGCTGTCTTAGGTGTCCTCCACACTACTGCCCCTGAGGACCTGACAGTCTTTCCCSTGCTTGTCAGCACAGCTCTTCTCTGAGCAAGTGCTCTTCCCCCATCACGTAGGTGGAAAGCTGCAGATTGGATTCCTGAGCAATTTGGCCAAGGTCTCRCAGGGAATCTGGTGCAGCAGAAACAGGAACCAGATCTCCCAGAGCCTGCAGCCTGACCGTGGACCATCTCTCTTGAAGGTTTCCARGAGGGAATTAAAGGCCTGCTACCCACCTAGCAGGGTCTTGGCCTTCTTTTTTCTTAAACTGGGAGACTTTTCTTATCAGAGGTGGAATTAGAATTAATATGAGCATTACTGTGTGTGTGCATTTCCAATGCACTTTTTGACCGCAATTTCATATGCAAAATGAAAAGTTATGGTCTGCTGCAAATGCTGGGTCTTTACTGTCTGCCAAGGCTGTTTTCCTTGTGCTATATGAAGTCTTCTTCAAGCAAGGGAGAGAATATCAAAACTGAAATCCACTAGGTTGAGGTCTACCTTCTTAACACAAACTCATCACACTCCACAGCCTCCTGAAAAGCACTGAAGATGTGATATGAGGGTAAAAAATAAAAACTCAAAAGGGAAGTTTCCCATTGTACCAAAAATGTAGTTTTTTTTCCACCTTGGGTACCAAGTTCTGAGCAATTACCACATTTAGTGTGAAGGTTTGAAGGGGGTGAACTCTGACTGGTAGTGTGTTTCCAAAGAAAACTATTTAAAGATATGCAGGTTTCTTGCTGTATTTTTTTTTTTTTTTTTTTTAAATAAATGTTAAATTATTTTTATTGTCTACTTAGGGATCTGTTTTGGTGTTTATCTTCCATGACTGTATTTCTGCTTTTGTGGCATTTAATGGCAGCATTTAGAAGAAAGGGAAAGTCTTGATAGGGATCCTTTTCCATCAGTTTCATTTGCTCTGAGAAAGTTCATAGGAAAATCTTTCAGTTTCACCACCTTTTGTATTTGAATGTGCTCTTACCTGTACCAGTCCCAAAGCTACCTGCAAATTTGCTGTTGGGGATCAGAGCTCTTTAGTGCCATCTCCAACTCCTCCATCGTGATTTCCTCAACCTAATTGCTCCTCACCAAATACAAGATGCTGGAGAGAGTCCACAACCCTGTGCAGCGACAGGGAAGTCCAGGCCTCTCCTTGTATCTGCTTCTGCCTACTGAGCTAGCAGTGGGGACATCCTGTTTTCCTCTCTGTGTGACTTGCCCTGGAGAGGAGAACAGGAGTAGGACACAACTGCAGCTCCAGGCTCCTTCTCTATTCTTCTCATGGCTGCACCTGCCCCTTGCTTGTACATTTTGTAAGCTGAAAGGCAGGATTTGACCTCTTCCTAGGACAATGGCAATGACTTTGATGAAGGGGTGKTTTTTTTTATTTTATTTTTTATTGTCTTCTTTGCTTCCCTGCTGATGTCTGCATGTGACATAAATCGAGCCAGGTGTCTCCGAGCACATGCAAATGCTGCTATCATCTTGCTTTTGTGAACAATACGCCTGCACTCATTTGGGCTTTTCTTTGTAAATAGTTTCATAAATATTTTGCTTTGTTATTATAAGAATATTTTGTACAGATGCRGAGCATTTTACTATATGAAGAGGTGAGACTAGAGAAGCGATGCCTTTTCTAGGGCGCTTAGTGCAGGAATGTGTCCCTCTCTGGCGAAATTGAGAGATGTGACGAAAATGGCCTATTTGATTTTTCAAGGTAGGTTCTGGCCTGAAGGACTGACCTTGGTTTTTACTGAATTTGGTTGCTTCCAGCGTGCCAGGGTGAGGGGAGCCCCAGAGGGCAGGTTGGGCAGGACCTAGTGAGGGCGCGTGCCTCGCGGTGGTGGCCGCGGTGAGGTGGCTTCGCAGCCCATTGGTTCCTCATCCTGGGTTCCTCCTCGCTTTCACTGGGATGTTGGGAGCGTGGGAGGCAGCGTTGGGCTGCCCTTCCATAGGGAGSCCCATCCAGGTCTCGGATACAGGGTTCAGAGCTGGCTGAGGGGGCAGCCGCTCAGACGTGTCCCACTGGTCGCACCAGGGAGAAGGGGCTGCAGTGGGATGAACCTCTCACAGAAACACTGTTAATACTTAAAGGACTGAGGCTGTGAATGACAGAAGTGCTCTGCAGTCCCAGTTATTGCTGATAGGCAGGGCTTTGGAAGGGTGAAGTTTCCACTGGCAGGGCTTTCTGTTGGCACTTCTACCCCTCGCCCAACCCAGATGAAAACAAACCTTTATTCAYGGTGTACAGAGGGTTCCTATCGCTGGCCACTTCACACTGGGAAGCAGGGAGCTAATGCCTTTCCTCTTAACTCAGAGAACAGAAAGCAATACTGTGGAACATTGTGTTTTGTGGAATCAGCTTCTGTAGTGATTGTGTTGTATATATTAATCAGTGGGTTTTCTTAAATTCCTGCTAGAACAAGAACTTCTGCCCTGAGACAAACCCTTACACGTGAGCACTGCTGTCATGTGTCCAAGTGAATACACGGATCATGCTGGTCTTTCAGGCTCTGGGGACTTGTTTTGAAGGGAGATGGGAGCGAGTAGTGCTGTTTTTGAAGCAGGAGTCGCCCTGCAGCTCCCSCTCTGCTCGTGTGCATCTCACCACTGCTGACTTTGAAGGAGTGCCTGTTGCATCTTGCACAGAAAAGCATCCCTGTTTCTTAATGTTTGGATATCTTGCAACACCTTGGGCTTGTGTGCTGGATGTGAGCTTATAGGGTGGCTCCATTTCTTCATTCTACTGAGGCCAGAACGTGCAGGGTGTCCATCTCACATGACATTGAGGTTTTCTCCTTGTTTGGTGGGGGCCTGTTTGGTGAGTGTCCCATGGGAAAGCTCCCAGCAGGACATCCACCTTACATGAGGGTCCCAGTGAGGGAGTTAGGGGTGTGTGAGGGTGATGCTGCCCATCCTRGCTGTGGGAGAGGCTTCGGTCTGAGTTCACTCCTGCTCCCTGTGCTGCCTGTAGCTCCTCTGGCGGGGAGCTGGGCTTGGAGGGGCGCTCCCACACGGGAGAGCCTGGGCAACTCCTGCTTCACCCCCGGTGGGGCCAAACGGTGGAAGGGCACTCCCACACGGGAGAGCTTGGGCAACTCCTGCTTCACCCCCGGTGGGGCCAAACGGTGCTTAACTAGTGCCTTCTTGTGCACCTTCTTCACACCACGCAGGTCTGCTGGCCAGAGACACAGGGCGCGTGAACCAAGAGCTCTCCACTCGGGCAGGGTGGAGTCGGTTTTACCAAGATGACAGGTTTCTAATGAAACATTAATGACCAGGTGGCGTTGTGCACAGCGTTCCCTCTCTAAGCACGAGGCCTGATGAGAATTTGAAGGTCAGTAGCTGTTGGTGTTGCCCATATTTTTAGCCTCCGAGAGGGAGAGCGGCCTTCGCTGCCCTTGTAATGGAGGAGGGCCCAGGGCCTGCTTGGTGAGTGAACGTGCCAAGGCCCTTGTTCCAGGCCTCAGCTTGCCGGGCAGGGCCACGTAGAAAGCAGTCACTCCGGAGTGGTTTGTGCTTAACCCCCTGCCTGTGCAGAGCTGATTGTACCCTAATAAACACACCGTTCGGTGGCTGATACCAAGCTGGCAACCGGATCATCCCAGAACACGTTTGCTACCAGACCCAAGCCTCAGTCTTTCTCAGGGTGTTTGCTCCTAGCTCCTGCCCCAGCAAGCGAGGTGAGCCCACGCCACGGCGCGCTCCTGAGCAGCGAGGCACCTCGTTGCCCCGAGGACATGCAGCGCATGCGTTTCTGGCGTGGTAATGTCGGCCTTCGAGGCGAGGGGGCGGCCGTGGCCTGTGTGAAGTGAAGAGTTTCCCTTCCTTCCCCTTGTGCCTTTCCGTGTCGGCTGGCACGAGGAGCACAAAGACTGACGGCAACCTAGAGCTGGGGCGTTAGCAAACCTATGATCATTTCCGCAGTAATGTGGGTTTTACTGACTGAAGCCATGGAAGAGTCTGTATATTTTTTATTTTTTAATTATTAAGCAAAATATATATATATATATCTTTCTGTTATTTGTTCGATGGTCTATTTTCCTAATGATTTCTCRGAGTTTCTTACAGGTGTGATCAATAGTTTTAATGCTTGTTCTGCAAACAAATCTATTTTTTATCCTTTTTTATCCTTCTTTTGGTCCCTGTTTTTTTTTTTAAATTCTATTCATGTAGCGATGCAAGCCTTAAGTTTTAAAATGTGAAACTTGCCCCCAGCGCATGGGTGTGTAGATACTTTTTATCCTGGCGACACTGTAAATACTTCTCCCCCCGTCTATGCTTTTGAATTTGGAAATTCACTTGTAATTTTGTGGTACAGCATTAAAACATTTTCTCGATATTCAAATAAATTATGCTTATTGTTTACCCTCATTTTCTGGTCTGCCTCTGCTTACCCACTTGTTTCAACATCTGCCAGCTGTCCCAGTCTCTATAGGGGAGCACCTTGTCTGGGGGGCATGTTCAATCCCATGTTAGTAACTCTTCTTTCATATTTTTGAGACAAATGACACAATCCGCAATTTGTGCAATGTGGTCTAAGCTGGGGTCTGCAGTCGTCGTGTGGGAATTCAGGAGCCTACAAAGTCATCCCAGTGGTCAGAATTTACCCCGCTGCTGTGTTTAATCAGCATTTACTGCAGTGACAAAATAGGACTACAGCAACASTGGTGGACAGGGGTTTTTTAAAGCAGTCTGATCCTTCCACATGTCCATGCAGTAACTCACAAGTGGCATTTCGAGCACTGTTAGCTGTTAGCAGCACACCTGGGAATTTGGGATGGAGTAGCTGCAATTAAGGCAGAGGAAGGCAACAAACCTCCATGTGGATCTAGCTCCTGGCATTGCAAAATTTGATCGTCTCAGSAACTAGGTGCTGTGTGATGAATGTGCTCTGCTTGGGGGATTTAGCAGGGCAGAGTCCAAGTCCGCAGGACAACGTTCAGGTGATGGAGCTGCAGTCTGTTCACTGCTGTTGCCTGCAGCCAGCTCTCTGCCCTGTTCCAGTCTTTCCTCATGGCCTGGGTTTCCGTGGCCCATTCCCACCTTTTGTCTCCAGTCCTAGTCTTCGTTTTAATCAAAATTTTCCACCTTTCCTTCACTGGGATGAGCATGATGAGAACAAATTGTTCAGCATTCTGATCCTTGCTTTTCTCCATTTCYACAGCACGGTGCTTAAGGCAACAGGGCTGAAGTATGTCTAGCTCATGCTTAGCTTCATTCCTCCAAATCTAGCAGGTCTCTACTGAACATGAGCAAATCTGCTCAGATCTTTCACTGGGCAAGTATCAGGCATGTTCCGGACATAGCATGGACCTGGTCCCTTCCTAATCTCTCTGCCAAAGACTGAAAACCTGAATGATCTCAATGGGAAAATGGGGCATGTGAAGGGGGTGTCCAATCCACACTAAGGACACACAGTTTGTGAGTGATTAACCCCATTCCCTGCCCTGGCTCTTGGTTTCAAGAGAGGCTGTGTTGCGAGGGAAGCAGCTCAAAGCATATAAACCCCAGGAAAACTGAATCCAGACAATTTTCAACTCATTTATAGTAGATAAAAGCCCGTTCAACCAGCTCCCTTGCCAGGAGGGTGAATAACTTTCTAGTTTAAATCTTTACTATATGAAAATGGTTTTGCTTTGGTTTTCATTTGCCTCAGTTTATGTGTACAGAAAACACTGCAYGACACAGTAGTTCGCATGCGTCCACTCACGTGTGTGCGCATGTATTTATTATCAGGAATATATTACACTTATCTGTACATCATAACTGAAATAATACAAACTCTTCCTGTAATCATTAGCCACATAGTAAACTGGACCACAGCACTCCTACTGCGTGGGAAACTGTACAGAAGGATCCTCAGCGTGTCCACGGGACACAAACGCAATCAGTGCAGAGACATAAAATACCTGATTTTGCATTTGTTAGTTTTTCCTTTTCCCCTCCAACCACCACAAGTCTTTGCCCCTGTGCAAGCCAATCGTACACAACCAACCATTGTTTCAGCAGGAAATGCAAGGCCTGAATTATCAATTTCACTATGCAAATGTTTGTTAATTCAAGGATCTCTGACACTGCTCAAAGGAAGAAGGGAAGACCTCAACCCCCAAGCTCACGTTGAGTGAGGATGCAAGCAAGCACACTGTGATCATCATGAGGCACTTCACAGGCTCCTTCTTTCCAAGGAAGACTTTTGTGAGCTAGATGGGTTCGGTAGGTGGTGGGGCAGGTCCATAACAACTTTTCTGTGGAGCCCAGCCTAGAGAAGCAGTAGTTGGGGCCAACACTGGTGGGGTTTGTGCTGGAGCTACCAGGGAGGCTTCACGTATGGTTTGCTGCAGCAGGCTCGCTCACAGTGGYCTCCCAGCCCATGGTCGTTCCCCACGGTGCTTTCTCTAGCTCATACACACTGCAAAGGCAGTACTGTTGGTAAGCACGGAGGACACTAACTTCATCTTCCCAATGTGGGTCATTGCTAGAGAAGGCCAGTCCCWGCTGGGATCTTATGACTGAGGTGCTGCCTGGCCAAATCCACCATAAATGCCCCAGCTCCTACTCAGCTGATCCACTGAAGGCTGCATTGTGCCCTCACCTATGTTGGAGGTGCCTGGGCTTTGCCTACCTCATCATTTATGAAATGGTTTGGTTCTGACAGGCCTTCACAGCATCACCTCCATGAGCAGCAGCTCCTTGGAGCTTTGCTTGGGGCAGGAGGGATGTGTGTCCTGCTCCTGCACTTTGGGAGATGTGGCCAGGCCAGGGGCACCATCCCAGTCCTGCTGGGCACTGTTAGGATGGAGAAAAGTGGGGAAGCCCCTCATGAATTAGCCCTTTTCCTCCCCAGCCTTTCCTTGGCCTCACGGAGCAAGATGTGCTGCTGGCTGATGCCCATTGAGCCATGGAGACTGAACAGCCCCTCGTGCCCTCGAGTGAGGCCTCAGGCCCGGGCCCCGCCTGCTGCAGGGGCCGATTTCAGGGAGATCCCTGGGGAAAAGCATTCCCCTGTGTTGCCGCCTTCCCAAGTGGTGTGAGGGATGGGCACAGGCAGAGTGTCCCTGTGCGCTGGTGGTCACTGCAGCAGCAGATACAGTGGTGCTGGCATGGGGGCAGGCATCCCAGCCTGTAGCCGGGCTCGCAGGTCCCAGTGGCTGCTATTGCCACCCCAGGGCAAGTTTCGGGAGCCAGGTCCAATCCCTGTTGCAGCGGGAGGGTGGGAAGAGGCCGGGAGAACCTCCTGTGGCCTCACTGCATGGGCRGTCTGTGCCAGAAGCAGCTTCAGCCCCTTCAGAAAAATCGTAGCTTGGGTTTATTGTCACAGCTGCCTTTCACTTTGAATGGAGTGAAACATTAACCAAATCAAACAGCTGCTTTTTAAAGATGGAAGAGCAATAAACCCCTGCCATAATTCCCCCTTTCACCAAGGGCCATGTTGTGCAACCAGGCAAGCACCCACGTAGGGCTTGCACTTTGTGGAGCCTCCAAGGCTCCCTCTGAAACCAGGGTGCCCCTGGCACCTCCAGGCGCTGGGATCTCAGCAGGGACGTCAGGGGAACCAGGACTGGAGACGTGACTGCCAGTGCCACCATGGCAGCCACACTTGCCCAAGTGGGCATGCAGCGGTGTGGCTCCTCAGTGGCACAGCAGCCCATGTTATATCTGCAATAACGCTCACGCTGGGGCACTCAGCAGGGCTTTGCACCCAGGAACAACTTGTTCTCCTGCTGGGCACGTCACAACTGCCAAGGGGCKTCTCCTACCCCAAACTGCTCCTCAAACCAGAGCTGTTCCCTTTCTCCCACTACCTAAGGGAACTGGGCTTTTTTTTCCAAACCCACTTCTGCACACAGATGCAAGGAAAGACAGGATAGGGGAAGAGTTGGAAAAAGTAATGAGCCTTTTTTTTTGGAAAGAAGTTGGCGCTTCGGCATTTGTACTAGAAGGAAACACCCTTCACACCTCTGCAGGAAGGTGTGCTAGCTCCCTTCTGGTCAGGCAAAACTTCCCACGACTTTGTTTGCAACCTGATGGATTGGAGAGGCCGCCTCATGGAAGAAATTGATAACAGGCAGGATTGGGAGGTAAAAATTGGACAAGAGAGGGAGATTGGCAATGATACCAAATGATGGTACAACTGGGATCAGGCCAGTGCACCCACCACAGAAGCCCCACTCCCAATGCACTGCTGGAAGCATCTGTTTCATATGAATTTCAGCCAACAGAGGAATAAGGAAAGCACCARAAATAGAGGAAAATGATGAAGAAATGGAAGGGACTGGCTCAGCCAGCCCACCCCAGGCTGATAATCTGTTTTAGTGTGAAAACCATGGAAAAGTCCAGATTAGTGTCATGGTAACCACTCTTACTGTATCAGAACACATTGCACCAGACTGAGACTTGACAGAACGGTAGGTATTGAGGAATATCTGTGTATTTAGCAAGTGCATTATGAAAAAGATTAAAATTATACTTGGCAAGGAGGAGCTTTGTGTGCATGTGTGTGTTAAATATCTATTCTACTTTCAGGTTTTACTTGCTGGGCACGTTAAAATCTGGTAATGCATTTCAACAGTGGTAGCTGGTGTGGCATGATCTATTCTAACAAGATGCTCAATTTACTCAGTATCACAGTATCATGCAAGAGCTGCTACATTTTTTTTTTTTTCTAAAAAAGGAGAAAATAAAAAGAACACCTTTTTTACGTCATGGAATGGGTCACATATGCTTTGATGATCAAAGCTGTATCTAAGCTGCAGTTTGTGAATCCTGAGTGCTTCCCAGGAAAGCCAAACCACAGTTCTTGTGCACTCCAGCCCCATCGAGCAAYCCCAACTCTGTTCACATGGGCCCTAGGTGTACCTGTGTCTCTGTACCTGATCCACAACACACAGACCTTGTCTGAGAGCCACGCTCTTTCACAGAGCTCCCACATCCCACGTATTTTCTGCACATACTGTCTCTCACCTACTTAGACCTTCTGCTCGAAGCAGGAACAAATGCCATTTCTTGGCCACAAGTTGAATATAAAAGAATCCTACAGATCTCCTTTTTCTGGATTATGCTAAGAGATTCTTCCCTCTTGTGGGTGGATGAGTCAACCTCAAGAGCTGTGCTCCAGCACACATGTCCATACCAGGCTCACCTAACCCTACGCACCTCGTGGCCAGCCCTATGGTGGTAGCAGCACTGACAAGAGCCCTTTAGCTCTTTCCACCAGAGCCTCTGCTTGGTGTCCTGACATTTTGGCCCACCTGTTTCCCATCCCTGGTCCTGGACTCCTGGGAAAATTACTGTTTGTGCAGGAACAGCCCTTTGGAGCCAGACATGTGTGGCACTGGCCGCTGTGGCCCTTCTGCAGCTCACACGTGTGGTATCACTGTCCTAGGGAGAGGAAAGCTGAAGGAAATGGGTGCATGTTTATTTTCTTTCATTTTTCTTTCTTTTTTTTCTGTTTTTTTTTTTTTTCCTACAAGGCAGAGAAGTTAAAGGTAGTTTGACAAATCTTTCCCACAAATCTTGAAAGTGCTCTGTAACTTTGGGTAAAATTTAGCAATGTGGAATAACATATAAATATGGAAGGAAAAAAATCCGTCCTCATTTACTCCCAAATAGTCCTCTGTATTTCACTTGGTGTGTCAGCCAGGAGGAAGTTAGAGCCCTAGCAGGCACTCCCATTTCTGGTCCCAATACTGGGAATCTCTTGGTCAACAAAGGYCAAAGTTTGAGCAATTTTTCTCCTTCTTGCTTATTGAACTTGAAATAAATCAACATGGACAGGAACCTAGAGCCAGAGATTTTGATTGTATCCAAAACACGGCAAGTTTAAATAAGATTAGCTCTAATTAAAATTTAAAAATACTAAGATTGAAACACGTTAACCGGTAACCTCTACCAAATTCACTAAAATCCTCAGGTTTCTCCTCTCTAGTCTATATCCACTCACAATACTGATGCTAAGAATTAAAAAGCAGAGAAAGGGATGTGTCTCCTGTCTGGTGCTGAATACAAAGGTGATGGTTTTGAAGGCAGTACTGTTTGAAAATTTCAAAGTCGCTGGTGTTCACGTTATAAAGAGTACCACTCGGTGGTCGTTTGGAAGGCGCTTCTACTTCTGTGTAACTTTCTTCTAGTTTGGGTAGAAATATTCCTGGGAGGCTAAACAGAAATGCATTTTGTTTAGATACAAGTCTTAGGCACGAGTTAGAAAAACGCTGACTCTAATGAAAATATATCAGCACTTAATAGTATCCAATAATATAAAAAAAATGCAATTCAGAACATCTTCAACTACATATATATGTGTGCGCGTCTATATATAGGTATGAAGGTAGAATACATACGTGTATATAAACACAGACACACATATAGAGACATCCACAACTTGGACTGTGTTCTTAACTAACCTGGAATACTGCAGCAAAAGTCCATTCTGACGAACCACTAACAGTAGCATTTTCCTTCTTGTGGCTCTAACCACAGCTAAAACGTTAACACATCATACTAGACTGGTTATGCTATCCTAACACATCAGCATGCCRGAACCAGGAGCTCCTATACTGGGATTGTAAGAGCACACTGCCTAGTGGAAAGCTACGCAGCTACAGAGCATGCTTGCAGGAAYGAATCCCGGTGCGTATTGTTGGCAATACTTCCTTGGATGATGACATTCAGCAGGCTGGGAACGCACGTAAAAGCCAGGTTATCTTGAGCACGCGGCGGGCACTGTCATCTGGGCACGGTGCTGACTTTTGCTGGAGTGGGAGGCCCTGAAGAGCAGCAGTAAATAGGAGTAGGAGACGTGGGAGAGAGTTTAACGGGGCTCATGGCCTCTCCGGTCTGCAGCTTCCAAAGGAGCTCCTCGTTAGTTCTGCTCAGCCTCTTCTTCTCCTCCGTTTCTTTCTCGACATATTCTTGAAGGTTAGCGTTCTCCTCTGACAGCTGCCTGGAGAGGGAAGCAACACACCACATAAGGCTCCACAGGGCATTAAAGAAAACACCAAACCCAATCGGTGCTTATCTCCAGTCCAGGAGAAGTTTTCTGTCACCAGGCACGGGCACTGCATTGGATTTCTCTGGATGTTTCCAAGCAGAATTGTTTGGGTTGCGCATCTGGAGGTTTCTGGATCACCACTGACATCAAAGTCCTTGGCCCTGGCTCAGAGAGCCTCAGATCAATGCTGTGCAAGGGGAAGTGCCAGTGAGGCTCCCGAGCACCTACCTCCAGTTCATCCCATCTACCTCAAGCCTGTAGCTGAGCTGTCCAAGTTGGGGACATCAGTTGTCCCAGGGTATCACAACTGCCAGAGGAGAGTGAGAGAAGCCTCTCCAGAGGTAACSGCAGCCCTCCAATATCTGAGTCTACCTCTCTGAGGTACGTCAGACACAAAGTTTAGATGGGATAAGACCTGGACTTCACCTGATGCCTTGTGTAGCTGCTAGCACCACGCATGGGACTCAAAAGTGCTGAAGACTTCCATGCACTGGCCACATGCTCCAAAGAGTTCAAAAATTAATAAGTCCTCATTTAGGAAATGGAGCACAAATCAGAAATTGCTAAAAAATAATATATTTGCTTTTTTATATGTATGTTCAAAAGTTGCTAAAATACAAGGCTGTGATGCACTTCAAGAACAGGGCTCTTCACTCACGCAAACAGAGGGGATGGAGCAGGCATGGACAGTGGTATACAGAGATGTTCATTGCACCTGGAGCATGGAGGGAGCAAACACAAGGTCACAAATAYTGTTGTATAATGAGTGTTTGGCAGCCATCATGGAGAAGTGGCACAGCCCATTTGGAGAACGGATTGGCTTAGGAGTGACTTTCTGTAGCCTTGCCTGTCAGTTGACATAAGTAGCGTGTGCATGGTCATATCTCCCCAGATTGAGCCCTGACCAATTTTGGAGCCTGTGTTTGAGCTCCCTGGCTTTTTTTTTTTGTTTTTTTTTTTGTTTTTTTTTTTTTTTCCCACCAGAGTAAGTCATGGCCACTCACTGACTGATGAGAAACTGAGCCTGTTATCACTGACCAAAAGGACAGTTTAAGGCATCTATAAATCATGGGACTCAGGAGTGCTTCTCAGAATGAGTCCCAGAAATACARTCTGAGAGAGAGGGCATTTATGTACCCCTTCACTGCGAGGAAGTGGTTTAGGGGGCAGRGTGGTAGCCCAAGACAGCCCCATGTTGGTTCCCTTTGCCAGGAATGCAGGGCACACCAGGGTCCATGTCTGCCTGATGCTCCAGGCCACCCTTGTACACTTGGGTCTTGCAGAGGACTTAAGAGCTGGAAACCTAATCTCACCTAGATACTTAACTCAGACCCTCTTCTAATATTTGTTTGCAGGTGAGTTGTTTCTCTCCCCTCAGRGCTTCTGTGTAATAAAGCAAACTGGAGCATTTGCCTCTTCCTGTTCAACACAGGTGCCCAGCATGGGTTTGTGACCTCTACTTGCAGGACATGATCATGGGCCCAACGATTTCTACAAAGAAACATGTTTAACAGTCTGTGGAGATGGATCTGACCCCAGGGTGGAGCCCARAGCTCTGGGCTAAGCACTCGGGCTAGCTATACAGGATATTTCTTGCGTAGGGCTCTCCTCCAGCACCTGGAGAACAAGAGAACACGAACCAAAACAGGCCTCATCCTAGGTAGGGCCCCACTGCAGCTAATCATTGACAGCACAAAGTGCAGGTRGCCTCCTTAAATCCTGCTTTTTCCCTGGCTCTGATGCCTGGCTCCAGCCACATTTGCCCAGCAGGACTTCACAGCTCAGAGAAGYTGCCAAACTGCCCCATCTTTTACTGAGCAGCACAGCAGCTAGAGCAGTCCCTGGGAAAAGGAGGCCCTGGGTTTTAGATCCTTTTCTATTTGACTGAGGACAAAAATCAGACTGTCCAGGTTGCTGGACAGCTGTACCTCTCCCCCTTGTTTCTGAACTCTTGCCATTGAAACTGTGCCAACAGGGAGAGTTTGTGGAGAGAAGGAGAAGGAGTGAAGATGGCAGTGAGAGCCACTGCATCCTGACTCCTCCTAACAGTTGCTGGAGTGCTCGAAAGAGAAAGGAGCCATCACTCCCAATGCTTATCATGTATTTCAGCTGGTGTCCCGATGTAGGATGCAGCTCAGATCCAAAGTCTTCCCTCTGCTCTGCATATAGCCACAAAGCTATGGAGTCCTTCAGTTCCTCCCTCATTGGGCCTCATGAAACCTGGATTCCCAAATTCTGCTGCCATAGGAGGAAAACCTCACCAGTGAAGGATGAAATGAAGACAGGATGGTGTTTTCCTCAGAGTACCCTGCAAAGCTATGGCTCTTTGGGAGGTGGGACATGAGCACTAGCTCAATGAGTGCTAAGGCCAGTCTGCTCTCATCAGGCCAGCTGTCTATTTTTTAAAGAAATGGAGCAGTGAAAGCAGAGCATGAGAGTCTGTTCAGGGTGCATTTAGGCCCTATTCTGGGAACACAGCTGGAATTAAGTACTTCCAGAAGTGTATACAGGAACACCTGATTTCTGCATCCCAGTTATGCTTGGGCAAGAACCAGGCTGGAACAGCTCTAGACACATGCCTAAGCTGATTTTCAGGTAACATGGAATTTTTAGAAATAAACAGGGAGACACCTAAAATCCTCCTAGCAATTTCCAGTAGCAGCTGGCTGTGGATTTTGGATACAGGTGTTAAATTCTGTCCAACTCTGTCCTTGAGCATAGCCTACCRCCCTTAGCAGAAGTCATGGACTGCTGGCGCATCCTCTTTGTGTGATCCAAACTCTCCCAGGGTGAGAGTGGAGGAGGACGATATTTGTTTTAAAATATTTTTAAAGGATTTCAGCTTTTCTAGCTTAGTTTCCCACAGAAATGGAGCTCCTCTGATCATACATGTGTCTGTTCCTCTTTCACTCCCCTATAAATTTTGAACCAGATTCAACAGTAGTTGAATCTAGTGAAGTCAAGGATTAAATAATACGAGTTGGTAGAAATTTTGTGAAAGCTGCTTGCGTGGTAGAGAAGAAAGACCCTATTCATGGTCCCATCAGGGAAACAGATGTGGCATGAGCTCCCAGCCTAAAAGGCATGAGAAAGTCCACATGGGAGCTCATCCTGGAGAAATAACTCCATAGGAAACCTTTTGCTACGCATGGAATTACTTTTTTTGTTGCAGCGCCTAGCAAGACATACCATAAAAATTATGCACAGAGCCCAGCTACACCCTTTTCCAATCAGCACGTGCTGACTGAAAAAAAAATGTGAAAAAAGAGCACATGTGTGGCCAGTAGTGAACGTGTGGCTGGCTCTCAGAGCTGGTAACAGCTTGTTTGAGCTTTGGCAAGAGGCTCTTCACACCAGCATGATSCTCTGAGCACTGGTGACAGGACCAGCTCTCACTTCTCCTCAAGGTACAGCATGGATGGGGACAGACCTRGACATCAACCCTCTGAGCCCAGCAGCCTGCTATACATTTAATGCTGCTTGCTGAACACGTGGCATGATGCCCGTTACCACTGTGGACTCTGGAGAGCCTCACACAGGGGATATTACAGCACTGAAGTACACTGGAATTTGCTGGCAGATGCAGGCTGCAGAGTACAGGTGCGACAGGCAGGCAGCTTGGAGGGGTGCCTGCCTCTGCTTGGGTGCACAGAGACATGGACAGACACAACACGACGCTTATAAAAGGTGCTCTTGCCCATACAACTCCTCGTCATCATTCAGAAGATAGGCCATGCAAAAGCAAATCTTGTATTTTCTGCTTAGACACTCTCACCTATCTGGGAAATTCCTGCTTCCTGGCACTGTAGAAGTATTGCCATTTCACTGTCTTTGTCCCAGCTATCAGATAATTTAACCACCCAAGAAAAATCACAGTGGGAATCACAACGATAATATCACAGAGATGTGCAGGGGAACGGTGATGTCCTAGTGAGCCGGGGCAGCTGCTTGAGCCTTGACCATGATCCACGTTAAAATCTTCCTGAAATGATCTAGATGTATGGAGGCAKCAGCGCTATGAGAACCAGGAGGCCAAAGGAGACCAGTCAGTGGCAGGTCTCCACCTCTGGGGTGCTGCTGGCTACAGAAAATGCTCTCAGACACCCACAACATGAAGGGCCAAAGAGATGACAATTTAATGGGRGAAAGAATTTGAAACCTCCAGCAAACAAGTGATTTAGTAAAGTCACTGAGGGAATCTCAGGCAGGAAATCTGTGGAGATCCCATGTTTAAAGACAGTGCATGACCCGTCTACAGGGCTGCTCTCCCTTCCTTGGAGCCTGTTCTTAGCTATAGTTAGAAATTTAGGGTTACAGAGTAGTATTTATTCTTTTGACCATCAGTTTTGGAATACTGATGCCAAACCCCAGGGCTTGCTGTTATCCTGTCACCGTCTCGTAAGTCCAGTCAGTCCAGCTGCCCCTTCCTGATGTAATCCATCTATTAAGCCCCGCCTAAGGGGGACCCTTGCTACAACAGGGCCCAGGTCTCTGTGGGTGGCTCTTGTCCTGGCACTGTTACAGCAGTCATGAAAATGCTGCTGTTGAAAGCAACAGACCAACAGGTCTCCCATAAGACCTGTTTTGAAACCAATACCTACAAAGTTACATGTAGAAGCAAAGCACTGCACCCACATYCCAGCAGGGAATACAGTGCCTATTCACCCAGCTGGAGATGGGCGACCACAGGGCAGAGACCACGCACCCAACCTGCCACTCAGGCTACTTTTACAGGCACCAAGAGAGCACAATTCATTCAGCCCAAAAGCAGATGTCCTAAATAGGTCAGATGAACCAGACTTTAAATATTCCTCTTTTCCCTGATCACAGAAAAGATGTACATAACCAGCTTAGACAATGACAYGTACACAGATGAGGCACTTAGGGACACGCAGTGATGAGTTTGCAGTTGCATTCAATGATCTTGAAGGTCTGTTTCAACCAGAATGATTCTATGATTCTATTATTTCAGATAGATATTTAAGATTAGGCAAGATAAAACGTAACCCTTACGCTATCCTGAACGTTAGTATGAACAATACTGTCTTTTTATACATCTATCTTTAAGGCTAAATCATTATTAAAGGAATGAGTAGAAAGAAAAAGTCAAATTTAAAGCAGAGGTGAGACATTAAATTTAAAAATATAAATCACATTTTAGGCCAATGGCATTGTTTTTGGTAAAAAACTGAAAATAGGTAGCTGGTGTGCTGAGACAAGTTTCAGTTCTGTCATCTCTCCTTAATTTCCCCTCTCTGCCTGGCTTCAGTTGTGGTCTTTTATCTTCTGCCTGGCTGTAAACTTGCTGGCTCAGCCTTGTCAGGCTATTAGCCAGTGGAAATTTAAAAAAAAAATAACAAAAAAACCACATCATCAACACAATCCAAAAGCATATCCTGCCTGGATGACAGAGGCATTGTGAGGATCTTGCTCCCAAAATTGCCACTTCTCCACTGCTTGCTAACCAATGACCCAAGGATTTCACAATACTGACAGGGGAATCAGAAGCAATGCGGGATATTGATCTCAGCAGCATGTCAAAATCTTCAAAATAATTTCACATAGCTATGCAGCCTTCCTCATGTTAAAATAGGAAGATTCTAATATAAGATTGCTTTATTAATAAAATAAGCAATGAGGATGTCAGTAGCTTCCAGGAGGAAATACACTTAATTATTTTTTTCCTTCTGAACTGTCAGCCTTGTGTGGTTATAATTTACAGTGTCCTGTCAAGCTCAGACAGGTTACAAATATCATCACAAACCTTGTTACGACGGTATTTTGATCAATTCTGACTCTGAGGTCTTCATTCTGCTGCTGCAGCACCTGGATTTTTTCTTCCAGGATTAGATTTTTTTCAGCCTACAACAACAACAACAAAAACTTGTGTTAAGTCTGAAGAAGTTTCCACACCTGATTCAAAAGGWTTTGTTCTTTATCCTAGGAGTACATTTGTCAATACAGCATCTTCTAAAAACTGTCAAAAGATGGATTTGGTCATTTTGACTGCAGCTGTGCAAGTGCTAGAGGTCTGACTCTTCACCACATCATTTTGGTGAAGTGGAGTCATTGACACAGCCTTGAAGGGAGGCAGGGCTCAGTTAGACCTTATTTATAACTGAGGAGGAGGAGAGTCTTATCTTGTCCTACATGAATAAAACATCTTCCCCTGTGGTGCCCTCACACCTTTAGGCAGAAGAGTTGTGCCTCTAGAGTTAACAATTATCATCCATTGCTCTCAGCCTTGCCAAATGTTGTCACTGATGACACTCAAGCCTCTGGAGATGAAGAAGCAAGCATCAAGACATCCCAGACTCCAGTTTCTGAAAAGTGGGAAAAGCAGCCAAATTTTATGCCCATTWGTTCTTAGCTTTGCCATGTCTTGTCAGCAGAAGCAACAGAGATGCGCTGCACACAGCCAGGTGCAATTGCTAGGTCATGTGTGGTCAGGTTGAACAAGAGAGGCAGCTGCTTGGAAGAGTTATTACTCTGTGAATCTCTCTTCCTCCTCCTCCTATGCAGCTATAGGAAAAGGTCCACATGGACCTTGAGAGCCCCCGTGTGCCTCAGCTCAGCTATGTAGCCTCTGGCACACACACAGTGTGGAACTTTCACCACACACCAAGGATGTTCTCACAGTGTGGTRAGAAAGTGATGAAGGAAGAGTTGAGGTGGCCTCATGGGCATTCATCTCACCTGGCCTCAGCTGTGGTTCGAACCTGAACCTTAGCCAGCTGCCCACAGCTCCTCTGCGGTCTTAGATCTGTCCTAGCTTGAGGTGAGCGGCTCCACTCTGGCAGTGTCAGCTTAAATGACTGGCCTAAACTAGGCACTTAATATCTTTCAAGCCACAATGAGGTGAAATGAATTATGTCCAACTGTAGGTAAATTGTGTTCAGTAGAGTTCAAGGGCAGAGTCTGACACTGTTAACAGCAGTAGATTGAAACATGACTAAGATGTTCACAGGCATGAACACAGCTTCATATGCCCTGCTTTTTGGAGATTTTGAACCKGACATACTTTATCTATTTCCTTCCTTCTTGTCTTTCCAGTAGTTTGAATTTTGCTGAATTCAGCATTTTTGGAAGAAACCAGATATCACATGGCAGTCTTACTTCCAGGTGGGAAGTATTTTTGGTTACTCAGTTTCCCATCCTTTAATAAAGAATTGAAATACTATCCACAGGAGTTAGCAATAACTCACACTTTACAGTGGAGGCATCAGTTTTCAGCAAGCATTTTCAGGCAATGAGGCTGACTGTAAAGGACGGCCACAATGCAATGCTCCCTGATAATTTATCAGAGGGAGATATCATAAATTATCTCCCCCTACTCCCTTAACCTCAATGATTTTACGAAGTGGTGGTTATGTTATTAGGAAACATGCGAGKCTATCTGTGCATTACCTTCCCTTTCCACCACAACCCTCGCCTTATTCCACCCTTCTCCTGTCACCTTCATTTCCCAGCTCCCTTCCACCCTCCTTAAGCATGCAAGGAGACAGGCCTCAGTGTCCAATGCTGCTGGCCACATGGCCGAACTCTGTGTCCCACCCCACCAGTGCATCCCAGGCCACCAGCCTGGACATCCCCACCATGCCCTGGAGTCCTTGATCTGGGCCAAACCCCTCCAGTCCCTGTTTTGCTTCTTTTCAGTCTCTGCTCAGATACTAGGGCAGGGAGAGGGTCTCAGGACCTTTCAGTAGGATCCACAGCTCCAAGAGCATAGGACAAAGCATCAGGGTAGGCTGCTACATGCCCAGAAGGATGAGGTCACCCAAATCACAGCCCAGAGCAGAGGGGACAAACAACTAAATTCTCTTGTCCACTATCCTTTATGATTCCTTAAACCCAGACCTAACCCTTTTCCCCAACAGCTGATCCTTTCTCCTGCTGTAATTCCCTCACCTCAAGAGTATTAGGCTCTGCCCAGTACTGACATCCAAAATTATATATATATATATATAAAATATATATATATATGTATATATATATATATACACATAAATGTTTCTAGATATTCCTAATGGTGGGTAGCTGAGGTTCTTCTGCGCAAGCTGATCTATGCAACCATGCTGGACAATTCTGACCAACTGTCAACCTTTTCAAACCGTGCTTCTTCAACACACTATTTTCAGGACCCTCTCACCCACTTTACCCTGTATTTGAAATCCCATCCTGATGGCTAATGAGGCACACCAGATCTCAGAGCAATTGGACATACCCTGTAGATGTTAAAGCACTTATAAAATTGATCTTTAAACCAAAAGCAGTTGTCTCCTTAGACCACAGTAGAACCAGAGTTCTGTTTAGTAGAACCAGTGTTATAAAGGGTAGGAGCAGGACTATCTGATGTTATATAGTAAATTTGCAAATGTATTTAAATGACCAGGAACCATATAAGCAATTGATGTGTGGTTTTTTTTTTTGTTTTGTTTTGTTTTCTTGTATAACACTACAGTGCATGTTTTCAGATGTTGTCTTATCTCCAGGAGCAGCATGTTAGAAAGAGCACAGTTAACAAGCCTCAGTTGTAAAGYGACATTTTTCCTTATATCCATTTACTCAAGCATCTGTTCAGCAGAATAAACAACTGAGTTCTCAGATTTCCCCGTAAATGGAAACAAATCTTGCTGASTGTTGTGCTGAAGCAGCTGTCCCCGCTCTGGCTGAGGTAATGCCTTATCCTGTCACCACCCTATACACTGACTGCTGTTCTAGGTTATGTCTCACAAAGCAAAACCTATTTCCAACAGAAATGAAGCTGATAGTTACCTGGGGAATCCTTTGCTAGGCACKCACACAAGCAAAGGATGAGGACACAGGGGAGGTGGTGGAAAAGGTTCTGTTACCCAGCCCTAAATGGTCAACTGGCTCTGGTTGGGGAATACAACTAAACCAATATTTTAGTGGACAAAATTATGTCCTGTGCAGTGCCATGAAGTTCTCCCTTCTCACTCTTCCCACACCAGCTACCTCGCTGTCCAACTCACAAGCTGAGCTTTTCATTCACACAGAAAATATGTGAGATCTCACAGATGTTTGAGAAATCAAGAGGACTATGGGTGGGTGAAGGGATCGGAAAAGATGCCAGTTTCTGAGTGAAAAGCTGAGACCTGTTGTAGTAGAAGAAGCTCGTAGAAGTGAGCTGCTTGTGCGAGAGCACAATATACAGCCTTTTATGAAACCCTTTTGCTCTGTCTTTTACAACCTCTTTATCTCACCCCTTTTAAACTGCAGTAAACTCAGTTTTAATTTTCATATCTCTGTGGTGCTCCTCTGCAGGAATCAGGACAACTCACCAATTTTTCTAGCTCCATAATCCTCTTCTCCTGTTGGTGAATCAGATGGTTCTTCATTTCCAAAACCTGTTTTAAGCTATTCATATCTTCTTCCAAGTGCTGATATGGAGCTAGTGCAATCTAGGGAAAATAGGATTAGGGCATTTGTTAGCTATAAACATGTTTTTGACTACAAAATGAAATTGCCCCAATCTACCAGTGGTTTGGGAGTCTTATTGCTGTGCCAGCTGTCCCAGCCCCCTGGGATCCCAATAGTCCTTGCTAGCCTATCATCTCTCAGACTTGGTAGCTAGTTTTATGGTACCTCTCTGTTGACCAACCTCATGGCTAGCTAGGTGGATGCTGTTTTACTCAGCAACCTCATCCCTGCTCATAGCTTGGGAGCTACATGAGGTGTTTTGTGACTAAGCAGAGATTTAGGCTTGAGAAGAGTGCAAACACGAAATTTAGGAAAGCCAAATGTCTGTCGGTGAAAACAAAAGAGATTTGCTTGTTCTGCAYGACCACCTCACAGAGAAGATGACCTGTTAACAAAGAGCAGAACCTAGTGAGAAGAGCAGTGATTCCTACCAGTAAGATAATCCTCTCCTCAGAAGTTGTGGATGTAGGGAATGTAAGGTTTCTTGGGTGAAAGCTGTGCTCTACATCATAGTGATTAAATGTCACCACTGACACAGGCTATTTTGGACTTCTGACAGTGCAATTCACCCTATTGAAATGTCTGGCAGTACTTGGCATTTACATCACTGTGACACAGCAGAATTTGTCCTTTCAGGTAAATTAAATACTGCAGTAAGGGTGGAAGGGAGGTTTTATTCTAACTGTTTCCTGAGGCCAAGACAGTTTCAGATGTTTGCACTCATCTCCTCAGTTCTCCCACTTAAAAACTACTCAGTCCTCCAACACCTCACAATTTCCCSTTTGTCACAGTGATACAGCTACACTGTGAACTGTACCACTGAAATGATTCACGTCAAAAGACAGGTGTTTTTGGAGGCTCATTTCAAGGTTATTTCATTTCAGACAAATAATGGTATTGTGATAGCATGTCCCCAATACATAGTAGTTGAATAAATATTTCCCATGATAGGCCTGTTCTCTGCAAGCCCAGAAAAAAAATAAGGGAATGCAGAGGACATCAGGGAGGTTGACTCACAGGACACACAAAAAAAGAAACATAAATATTGAAAGATAAAAAAAAAAAAAAGACAAGAGAAAGAATGGAAAAGAAGAAAGATGAGTAGAAGGAGATATCAGACAACATTCATTAAATGTGCAGGAAACAGCTATAGATGCTAGATGTAGGGATATGGAGAAAGAGTTAAATTCAGAAAATAGTTAATTATTGCACAGTATTAAATGAGAGAGCTTTATAGTCAGGCCTAAGATTTCTTACTGTTACAGAGACCTCAAGATTTCTGGTCCTGGCTTGGGCCTGTCTCACTCAGCCCTTGGGATAAGGCTCCCAACATTAACCATCCCTGAGCACAGTAAGCCATGCTGAGAGCATGTATCTTCATAATCAGAGTTGCCATCTACCTCCAGTTGTTCCTCGGTGTTTTTCTTCAAAGCCTCTTCAAATCTCTTTGCTTTGTCCTTAAGTGACTGGTTCTGGAAGGTGAGGGTGTCCACCTGGTCCTGGAGGACAAATCACAGCACCACCATCCYGTTACTACTGCTGTTACATCCATGCAAGTCAATCCAGCAGTGGAAGCACCAGGGGAGCTGAACATGCCTTAACCATCACTGCAAGGTGCTATTTGTGATGTGTGATCTGCCCGTGCATAGGGCAGGGCACCCAGGTCCTTGGCACCTGGAGGCCCATCAGGCCTGGGAGTAACGTCACTTCACTTTTGATATTTGAGGCTAGTGATTGCATCTAGATATAAACTGGGTGAAAGTGAGATGATTACATCTAAACTCCCTCTGTGATCCATACAAAGAAGAATGCTGGCTGGATTGTCCCACAGAGGGAAAATACAGCACAGACACAAGAACATGCGATGATAGATGAGCGCTTCAGGGGAGAAGCAGCAGATACCCCAGGGACATCTGCACAAGGATGCCAYGGACACTGCATCCCTCCCTGCTGTGCAGGGGGAAAAGCCAAAGTTTGCTTCTCCTGACTTCAATATTAGGCRAGCAGTCAGCAGGGTCAAAAGGACTTTTTGCTCTCCAGCTCTGTTTTCCCCTCTTTAGGCTTGCCCTCTATTCTCCTTCAGATACAGACAGCAATTTGCTGAATCAGCTGTGGGGAAATCACCTGAGGAGACTTCCCTGCTGACAGATCCCAGTTTGGACACTGAAGGACCGGAGTCAATTAGAGAAGCAGCAGCATCCCTGGCACAGAGGTCTGCTTGCTGCAGAGCTGCTGGGAAGCAGGGGAGCAGTGAGAAGCAGCAGTGTGCCTTAGTGCTGCCATGGACCTGCACCCTCTGCCTGCACCATGGCGAGCTGCTCAGCAAGCATCATTAGGAGAGGTGAAGTGATGAAATAACTGACCTGGAGCGACAGACGCAGTTTTTCAAAAGTCTCTCCTAATTCTTTCTTTTCCAGGTCATGAGCAGACAGCAGTTCTAGGGAAGATACACAGACATGACATTGCTACTTGAAGTCCAGCAAGCCAGGGTTTGAGCCCAGAGTCCATACGCTAAGCACCATTCAGAAAGCTGTTTTAGGGCATGGAGGTTGCCCTAAAACTAACAGTCTGGGGAGCTTTGGGAAAACTGTCTTAGGTTCAAGATTTCCAAAGCTTTCACAGATTTCAGGTACCTGTGTTCAACTCCTCATTTTTCAGAGGACTCCTAGGGACTCCAGTCTGAAAACGGGTGATTCACCATTTCGAGGTGGCAGTCTCCAAACCAAGGATTTGGAAATCAGTGGATATATTTATAAGTTTGCATTGCAATCTCTTTGGGGATATTGAAATTAGGGATAGTAATTCACATGCAAAAATGTGAATGACARTGCTTCTCCAGGATCTGTGACATGGCCTGCAAAGCTTATTAAATTGATGAGGCTGCCAGACCCTAAAGAAAGTCCTATATTTCTATTAAAGAATTATACACTTTACTACTAGATTATGCCACTTTGTCCTCGCTAATAATCAAAAGTTTAATAATCAAAATGGAATAAGGCTTAACCTCTGAATCAACGTCATGAAACTCATTCAGTACAGTGGCACCTAACTTTTGAGGTCACAGATACCCTGTTTTCTATGTCTTCCTCCCAAAATGGGGTTTTGTCCTCTAATCAAAGCGCCACTGACAACACTGCTAATGCTCATTCAGACTGTGTGGTGGCCCTGCACAGCTCAGCAGCAAAGCAGCTGCTGCAATGCCAGTTCCATGCACMGGAGGGCATTTCACACCCGCACCAGAGAGCACCTACTCCAGCCACAAAACCCTTGATAACAATAGCTAAGTTTTATCATCAGAAAAAAACAAAACAAAAACTGACAGGCAATTATATCCTCAAGCAAGGAACAGCTTTTTATTTTCAAAAATATATGTGTGCTCATGTATAAATTGTGTTATATATACCRTCTTAGCCTGCTGGAAAGGGAAACAGGCTGTTTGCTGCTGATGTTGTGCTCTAGACTGWGCTTCAAAAAGATACAGTGCTTAAGTAATCAATCTGACTCAATTTGGGGAATGTTGTGTGAAAATCTACCAGAATTATCTAAAAATGAGACCCTATGTGAACAGCAATAGAAAGAAAGTGATTTTACAGATAATCATTAAATGTCAGTTAAGCCATGTGCAAAGACATGGATTTAGATTCTAAGTGGTGAGGACAACACAGCTCTGGCGAGGACAACACAGCTCTGGCTCTTGCATCAAATCCCATGGAAAACTCTAAGGCAAAGTATGGGTGACACTGCCAGGGTGCAGATTTGCACCCGTGTGTGGCTCTGCCTGGCACCACCAGGCTGTAATTAATGAAAACGATGAGTTCTGTTTTCAGGCTTTTAAATACCTGCATTCAGAGTCATTTGATCCATTCTAGCCTCCTGAGCACCTGAGGCCTAGGCACATAGTCTCCTGGGAAAAGCATGTCATTGAAGTGAGGTGAAATTTGCATTTTGTATTTAAGGATTYGTGGAGAAAACCCTATATTTTCCCCAAGATCCCTTAGATAACCTGCAATGTATATTAAACATTGTATACACTGCATACAGCTCTCTCACAGCCCTAGAGTCCCAATGTACCTGGTGGTCCACCTAGCATGAAAGCACAGAGACCAACACAAATTTCAGCATCCTCTTCTCCAAAGGGAGAAGCTCCAGACTTAGAAGGTCTCACCACAGCGAGAGTTTCTGGTCTGGAATGTTTTTATGAGCATTGAATTGACTCTGGGTTACCTTGAAGCTTGCTGTCATGCTCATCCTGCAGGATTGCAATGGCAATGGTGTGGTTGTTCTCTATCTCCAGCATCGCAGCTTCRTGTGTAGCTGTGATATCTTCCACCTGTTGCAACGACAACAAACAGACATGGACACAAGTTTAGACGTGTTATGGCACACTGACAAACCACCACTACGGAGCTCCAGTGAGCTGGAAACAGTAAAGGGATCTAATGAGCATGACACTTGAGTACATCAGCCAGTTTAATTCACTAYGAAAGAGATATGATGACTCCTTCAGTGGTAGTTTGTGCTCGCTGCTGCTCCTGTTTTTTCTCTTTTAATTGAATAGTAAAAAAAGGAAGTACCCAAGAAAGCAAAACACCAAAATGCTCTTAAGCAAAGAAGCAACTTATGAAACATAAAAAAAAAAAAGAACGTTCCATTAATCTAAATTATATTAATAACCTAAATTTCTGATGATTAGATGAGCATGCACAGTTCCATTGCGTTTCTTTTTTTTTTTTTCTTCTTGGCACTCTACTGCAACTATTTTTTATCGTAAGATTTTGAATTAACTTCCACAGAAAGTGTCTATGCATTATTCATATTKGTGAAATATTCATTTCTATGAAAACATTGAAATTATTATCAGTGGGCATGTATAATGAATTGTGACCTACCACACTCTTAGTTGAAAAATAGCATCCTACCAAGTTGCCGAATTCCCACATCCTCCTGAAATCTGTATTTTGAGTCAACATCCAATACATTGATAAAAGAGCTGACAGCATCTTTTTCAGTGCAGATATTCTCAGGTTAGAGAACTTATTCAGTGCAGAGTTCTCAGGTCAATGTGGAAGTAATGAAGAAAACAGCATGGCCAGAAAGGCATAAAGACAATTAGGCATAAAGTAATTCTTGGAAGAGCACTTCAACTTTTCAGGTCCAGTTGACATAYTGTGCATGGATGTATTTTTGATAGGCTACAGGTGATAAAAACCAAATGCATATAAAGGGTCAAGGACCTAAAAGAGCTCTGAGGATTAAATGCATGATATGCAACATAGATGTGCCTTAGCTTCAGGGACTTGTACCAGAGTTAAATAACACAATTGTGTGACACCCCTTCAGCACAACACAAGGCTCTAGGAAGCGACTCCAGTGGCATCCTGCTCTTTGGAAATCCTCTCCCAGTTGCTTCTTGGGCCATCAGTGATCAGGGCACTAGCAGGAAGCAGCTTGTGCTCTGTAGGAGACTGCACAACTTCAGTGGCTCTGGTGTAAGGATGTAAGGAAGACCCCCAGACCAAACTGCTGGGAGGTTTTCCAGGACCACTACCAGCTCCGAAGCATCCTGGCTATCAGCCTTCTTGGCCCTGTAAATAGCTAAAAGAGGTCTTGAAGTGTGGCCTGAACACACCACAAATACAGTGCAACAGGAGACAGGTCCCACTTTGTTCTGACTAAGAGCTGGAAGAACCATCTTTCAGCTTTCTGTCCTTGGATGCCCCCCTTACCCCAGCACCACCAGCTTTCACATCAGTCATGTCCATACTGCTAAAAAAAAAAAAAAAATCTTAGGAGTAAGACCTAGTGGCCCAATGAGACTATCCCTGCACTGCTTGGAATAATCTTTCTGGAGTGGATTTGTCCTGCAGAAAGGGATCCAAAAGCCAGGCTGGAAGTGAGGTGCCCACTAAGCAGCTCAGATAACCAGGGTTCCAAGGCTCAAACTTGATCCCTGTCTCTGTTTTGTTTAGTAATCATCCTAGAGGAAATGAATCTGGATTGCCAGCTCTGAAATGATGAACTTTAGAGCAAAAAGACTTCAAAAAAAAAAAAAAAAAATCCTCAAATCCTATTTCCAGTTCCCCAGAGTTTCATGTCTCCTGTTCAGTTTCTGAATGTAACATTCGATTACCTGATTGCTTTTCTTATTTTCACTATCACATTGATCTTATTTCCTATACTGAACACTTGTACTATTCTAAAATGCAGAACATAAAGTTATTCTTTTACAATGAAACTAGAGTCCATTGCGAAGTGTCACTTCACTTACACTGCTTTTATATTCACTGCTGTGCTGAATTATGGAAGAAAGATGCTGTAGTTGAGCACGTCCTGTCTGGAACAGTTGTTATTTCACTGCATTCAGGTGTCAAATGTAATCTGTTAGATTACCCAACATGAGCAAAATTTCCAATCAGACTGTGAAAGGCTTGCTCTTAGGATGAAAAATGGGCATTTAACACAGAATCTGCAATTTTCCAATAACACGAGAGACAACTCATGGTGAGTGGTGAAGAATTCCTCACCCAGMAGAGCAGGACTCAGTTTGCTGATATATTGCATGAAGTTGTGGGGCTAGATGGCTCAATGAACCACTAACTGGAGTGGGGATATCACCAGGCTTTTCCCAGAGTGTTATGTCCTTGTTTAGGATGCCTGTGTGCTGATACCTCCTGAGCACTGTTACATCCTTTACATCACCCTTGCTTAACTCCTTATTCATGCTCTAATTGCTTATTAGCCAAGCAGCACCCCATAGGAATGATTAGGCCCAACTCCAGTGCCCTCCATAGGCGAAGAGGTCTCCTTTCTCTGCCACCTTCCTTGACAGGTTATTTATCTATAAAGGCAATTAAATATGTTGCAGTTTCCAAATGATCTCCAGGGAATTTTTGATTTTTATATCCACAATCCAAATTACTTCTTTTATGTTTCCAGTGTGATCTCCTGTCCGCAATTTTTCATAGCAGATAGCCTGCTTGGCACTTGCATTCAATCCCTTTGGACTCTAATTCCAACTCTGCCACTAACTTACTCTATATCCTTGATCAATTCAACTCACTTAAACCCTATGCCACAGCTATTTTTGACTACAAAAAGTTCAGGCAGGATTTTCAAAGTTTAATAAAATAAAATTAAGAGGATGGTCTTAAAATTCTCTTAAATTTAAGAGAATTCTCTTAAAATTAAGAGTGGGAGAAACTAAATAGGTTAGTGGATGCATCTGTGAGAGCTAAACAGCACAAGCAAGAAATACTGGTGAGTCAGGAACTCATCCTTGACTTTGGAATTTTGTTCTCCARTTACAAGAATAGGGAAATATTGGGATGCATTGCCACACCTCATCTGTTTGTGATCAGGTTGGCTATCGTGCCTTGCTGCACCCAARGAGYTGWGAATGTTCCTATCCTCAGAGGCACRTGAGCCTTCAAAGGGACAAGGGTTTATTCAAAGAAACAATTTCTATTTGATAATACATTGAAAGGTCACTAGCACAGCAATACGTGAAAGACTAAATTATGACTGTAACCCAAGAGTGTGGTATGATCAAGTTGCAAAGCAGATGTGTGGATACAGAGTTAAAAGGATTTTGTGAAGCCATTTAATCCCTGTTTGCATGAATACAAGGTGCAATTCTCCCCATGCAGATGGACAGTTCAAGTAGAAGGCCTTTCTTATGCCCAACGTAAGGGCTTCTGAAGTCAGRGGTTAYGTGTCTCTGCRTCAGTGCATTAGACATGAAATAGTCAGGGAAAAATGAAGCCATGCTGTGACAAGGTAAATCAGATCCCCTCCCTGTTCATTTGGAAATATTGTTTTCTTTAAAAAAAAAATCAAAAAATACATACAGAGGTGTTTGGAGAAGAACAATCACATTTCTTAACAACTTCTGAACCTTTAGAACAATATCTCAGCTCTGAATTAGAGCAGAACCCAAATGTTCCATTTCCACTAAACATTTTATGACAAAACATCTCAATTTTTAGATCAAGAAATAGTAAGTTTTTTGAGAAGGAATCCTATTGATTTTTACATAGACCTAATTGGGTAGCTACAAGGCTCCAGAAATCCATACAGAAAACTTCACAGAATGAGTCTCTTTTGGCAATCACAGAATCACAGAATATTCAAGGTTGGAAGGGACCTCTAGAGATCATCCAGTCCAACCTTCCTGCTCCAGCAGGCACACCTAGAGCATGTGGCACAGGGTGGCATCCAGGCGGGTTTTGAAGACCTCCAGAGAAGGAGACTCCACAGCCTCCCTGGGCAGCCTGTTCCACTGCTCTGTCACCCTCACA